GCTTTGAAGGCAGCCGAGTCTACAAAGTAAGTTCTAGGATGGCCAGAACATAGAGAAACACTGTTTTGAAAACAAATTGTGTGTGTGTGTGTGTGTGTGTGTGTGTGTGTGTGTGTGTGTGTGCAGTACCTGTCCATATTTTCTTGATTATTGTTGCTTTTTAATGTCTTTGAACAATATTTGATAGTATTCACAGTATAAATTTTATAAATTTGATCCTAAATATTTTATTTGCTTCAATAAATGTTCATTACAAATATATAGAAACAGATTTGATTATATATTGGCCTTAATATGTCCTGCAGTCTTTCTGGTCTTGTTTATTGGTGCTAATACTTTTTCAGTAAATTCCTTAGGGTTTTCTATGGATACAAGGTCATGTCAGCCACAGATAATTTTGTTAGTTCTTAGGGGGAAACACTCAGTTTTCCTCTTTAGATATAGTGAATATTAGCTGTGGGTATTTTGTAAATATCCTTTAACTGAGGAGTTTATTAAATATTAATATTATTTCCTTCAATCTTCATAGAATTTAACAGTCTCTGGGGCCTATGCATTTTCTTTATAGGTTGATTTTTAAATTTTGCTTATTTGGCTGATTATTTTATTTCTATTTTTCATTCTTCCTTTTAATAGTTTATATCTTCCTAGAAGTTTGTCTTTTTCATCTGATATATTTAATCTGTTAGTATATAGTGCTGTTTTGAAGTATTTGCTTGGTTTTTGTTGTTGTGGGGGGTAGTGTTTGGCTGCTTGTAAGTGAGTCTACACCATGTGTATACCCAGTTCCCATAGAGGCCAGAGAGAACGTTAGGTCTCCTGAAACTGGAATTAGAGACAGTTGTGAGGTGCTGTTTAGTGCTAGAAATCTAAGCAGGATCCTCTGAAAAGTAGCCCTCTTAACCACTGGGCCCATCAATATCCAGTTATCTTTTCTTCTAGGAGTTCTTAAAGCTTTGGTTATTCCTATTTTCTATCACTCTTGTGTGTCTCTTCCTTTTGAAATTATCTTTGTTGTGTTTAATGTAGTTTGAGGAACTGATAGATAGGTAGGTCATAACTGCAGGTTTGCAACGCAGTCTTCCTGTCCAGATTCAATTTACACATCTTTGATTCTTGGATTAACATCTGTTTCTTAATTTCTTCCCATGGAATTGTTTCCAAGCAATTGATTACAAAAATAACTTATGCTAAGTTTTTCGACTTTTCTCCAAACATATGATTGTTTAAATATTTGTCATTGGTTCTGTTTGCGTTGTTTAGTTTCAGAAGCTCTACCTGTGACAACTCCTGGTGTATCTGCTGAGACTGCTGGTGCTGCTCCCACTTCCTCCACTGCTGGTGCAAAACAAGACCTTCATTTGACTTCATCCGCTGTAAATACCCTGGAAAATGCAAACTCCACAGAACCCCCCAAAGCCATAGAACTCGATAGTCTTCCTTCGGACCAGTTTGCGAAAGGACAGGACACAGTTGCAATAGAAGGTTTTACAGATGAGGAAGATATAGAAAGCGGAGGAGAAGGCCAATACAGAGAACGTGATGAATTTGTGGTAAAGATAGAAGATATAGAGACATTTAAGGTCAGTGAATGCTCCCAGCTTAAAGGACCTGGAATGCTTGTATTTTCATGATATCAGTGGCATACTTGTGCTTTACAACACACTAAAATTTAATCAATGTCCTGTTACTGTGTTTTATAACATTGGACTGGATGTCAGATTTTTAATTTAATTACTTAATTTATTTAGCCTCTTACTCTGTAGCCCAGTTTGGCACTGTGACAAGGGCTGTCACACCCAGCTGGTGTTGGCTTTTTGGAATGGGGTCTTATATTGTGCAGACTAGCCTTGAGCAGGATCATAGGCATGTACCACCTTACACAGTTTTATGCAATCCTTCGGACTGAATTAGGCTTTGTGTATGCCAGGCAATCACTTTACCAACTAAGCTACAACTCAAGTCCAAAAGTACATCAGTTTTGTTAATGTTTTTTCAAGACTTCCAAGTGAGTATAAGAAAATGTTCATATAATTTTAAGAAAATAGCAGAACACAAACATGAAATTGGAGTATGTTTTATAATTTTGTTTTGTTTTTTGAGACAGTGTTTCTCTGTACCTTGGCTGTCCTGGAACCTGCTCTGTAGACCAGGCTGGCCTTCAACTCACAGAGATCCGCCTATCATTTCTCACTACCAAATAGAAAGTCTTGGTGGGGGTAGAGGGGTGAGTCCAGTAATGTCTTTCCTCCAAGTTAATTTGAACGTGATTTTCAGGAAATAGTGTTTCTTAAATCAGTATCACTGAAAGCAATTTTCTCGCCATAAATCACACAGTGTTCCCACCCCACCACCATCTTTCTTGTATATTTAATTAAGGCCTTGAGTTTGATACTACTACTACAAGGGTATGTGTGGATGGGTGTTCATTATTGTAGAAACTCAGCCAAAGATAAGAAATGGAATGTTGTGCTAGGCATGGTGGTACACACCCTTCATATCAGCACTCAGCCTGGTACATATAAATTCCAGGACAGTCAGGCCTACATACAAACCCTTCTTTACCTCCCCCTACCACACACACACAAGAAAAATGAATGAAGGCGGAAAGATGGCTCAGAGGTTACAAACACTGACTGCTCTTCCAGAGGTCCTGAGTTCAATTTCCAGCAACCACATGGTGGCTCACAACCTTCTGTAATGAGATCTGGCACCCTCTTCTGGCTTGCAGGCATACATGCAGACAGAACACTGTATACATAATAAATAAAATCTTTAATAAAAGAAAATAGAATAAAAAATTGTGTTAAGATTCCTCCTTGCAGTAACATTCTATAAATATAAACATGTTGATATTTTTCCTAAATATAATTAATTCTGCTTATTATAGGAAGCTTTAAATATAGGAAAAGAGCCCCCAGCTATTTGGAAAGTACAGAAAGCTTTGTTACAGAAATTTGTTCCTGAAATTCGAGATGGGCAAAGAGAGTTTGCAGCTACAAATAGTGTAAGTAAAATGTTTGACTCTATCAACTTCTCTAAACTGACTGTCCGGGGTGCAGTGAGTAGGCTTAGATGCACTGACGTTGTTTCTGCTCTTGTAGAGGACCTGGATTGCAGCTGTAGGGGATTCTGTGCCTTCTTCTGGTATCTGAGAACATCTGCACTCATATGTACACATGTACACAGATACACACACCCAAATTTCAAAATAAATAAGTGAAATAACAGAGCTGGAAAGATGGCTCTGCAATTTATTACTGCTCTTGAGAAGGACCTGAGTTCATGTTAGAAAACTGAAAACTTCCTATACCTCCATCTCCTCTTTGGGTATCTGCATGCACTTGTGCATGTTCCTTGTCTTGCTCCTCTTCTCAGTCACACATTCACTCTCAAACAGATACTGTCTCCCCACCTCTGCCCTTCTCAAAATCAGGATAAAACTAGTCTGGATAGGGATATGTTTGGAAAACTAAAGGGTAGCTGGCAGTGAGGTCAATAAAGTACTATTTATGTGTATAAATTATGTAATTGTATAATTCTAATACTTCCTTCCTTAGTATCTTGGATATTTTGGAGATGCGAAAACTAAATACAAAAGGATATATGTGAAGGTCATTGAAAATGCAAACAAAAAAGAGTACGTTAGAGTGTGTTCCAAAAAGCCAAGAAACAAGCCTTCACAAGCTATCAGGTATTTGTTTCTTATGTAATATGTTTATGTTCTTATTTGAGCATTGTTATTGTATAAAGGATCACATGAGGGTGATGCGGTCTCTTTTGTAGTAAGTGATTCTTTAAAAGAATGAGTTGGGTGCAGTAATGTAGGTACCTTCTTCTTTGCTTGGATCTTCTTGGTGTGACAGAAGGTGCAAATGTTTTGAGTCTACCTCTTTGTGAAAGAACCTTTCTGAAGCTCTCTTTTCTATCCATAAAATGAAAGTAATAAGTGAATGTCAAGTTGATAATAAGGTAATTGGGCGATGGGGACACACACAGACACAGTATAGAACTCTTATCATGGATCAATATGCCTGGGTTGTCTGTGGTATGAATTTAGAAGGTAGTTGGTATGACACTGTGATGGATATTGGATGTGCTATAACTCTAGGTACTCAGCAGTCTACTATCATGTAGCTCTATTTTAATTAAGATCATTACCTATTTTCAGCTACTGACCCAATGGTCATGATGGTGGTTTTTTGTTTTGTTTTCTTTTCTTTTTTTGTTTTTTTGAGACAGGATTTACTGTATAACCTTGGCTGGCCTGGAGCTAGCTCTGTAGACCAGGCTGGCCTCTAATTCACAGAAATCCACCTGCCTCTGCCTCCTGAGTGCTGGGATTAAAGGTGTGTACCACTACTACCCGATGTCCTGATGGAATTTAACCACACAGATCTCTAGATTTAGCATAGGACTTCAGGACTTCTCAGAAGATGCATATACATGTATTTCTTCATCAAAACCTAGTTCCACTAGAGTATCAAGGCTAGATTTGGCTTTGTACACCTCATCTTCTCTGGAAAATGAACCAGAAAGGATTTGATGTGCTATAGTTGAGTTAATAGCACCTTAATAACAGCATAACGTGCCAGTGTCAAGCAATCTATTTCAAGAAAATGCTATAGTAGTCACTGTTGAGTTGTATAGCATGTGAACTTTATTTTGGAACTGTTGTCCTGAGTTTGTTTAATCTTCTCTTATTAATCATCAGATTATTTCTTTTCAATCTTAAGAGATATAATGATGTTAATGAAACTTGTTTTAACATTGCAGAAATGTTTCATCTAAGCCAAGTAGTAGCAGTAAAACTTCTGACCCGCCAGTATCAAAAACTCCAACTACAAAAGCCCCTTCTACAAAACCCAAAGCTAAACAACTCAAAATGAAGGCTGAGCCACCACCAAAGAAACGGAAGAAATGGAAAGAAGAATTTTCATCATCACAATCTGAATCATCTCCTGAGGTCCGTTCTAGCAGTAGTGAGAATGAGGGTGAGTTCCCCAAGAAATTAGTATTTTGACACTTTCAGTGTGTAGGAATGGAGCAGCATAGTGATGACGACAGCTCAGATTGGAGGAGATGACTAGATAATTGTATTGTCCAAGTTCGTGTAGCACAAGTTCTAATAGGTCTTAATAAGAAGATGCCCATCATTTTCTCTGAAGTAGATTGGTGATGCCATGAGCAGACATGTCTCACTGTCATAAAAAAAAAAGAGACTATATTATTAAAACAGCCTCAGTTTCATATTCTGTAGATCTCTGAAGTGTTTGAAGATGACCTGTCTATCTAAAATATATGTTTGACCTTGAAAGCATACCTAATATAACTACAAATTCAATTGTAATAGGTGACTAATTACTAACCTGCATTTCCTTATTATTCTAAATATTTGGTAATAATAACTTTCAAGGGCTAGAAATTTGCATTACACTGTTAAATGAGTTGCCTGGGTACCATACCTTGAATAAAATTAGAAATGTATGTACACTATCGTCTAACAAAAATAATCTCAAGGACTGGAGAGATGGCTCAGCAGTTAAGAGCATTGCCAGCTCTTCCAAAGGTCCTGAGTTCAATTCCCAGCAACCACATGGTGGCTCACAACCATCTGTAATGAGTTCTGGTGCCCTCTTCTGGCCTGCAGACATACACACAGGCAGAATATTGTATACATAATAAATAAATAAATTTTTTTTTAAAAGAAAAAAATCTCAACTTTGTATCAATATATGACAAAATCCAAGCTAATATAAAATATTTAAGACTAGAATTTGTTTTTTTGGTTTAAAAGTAGATTTAATAATCTACCCTTTTATTCTATCATATGTATCCCTTCTTTTTTTCCTCAAAACAAGAACTCAGAGTCTCATCTCTTTTGTTCAGCTTTCTTCCTGACCGTAATCAACAACAACTTATAACCCCACCCCACCCCAAATAATGACAAAATCCATAACTGATAGAATGGTCAAAAACCATCCACCTCACCTCTTGGGAACTCTTGTTGTATTCTTGAATTTACTTCCTGCTGTCTGGGTGCAGTGGCGTCTTTAGAGGATTCTGAAGAGAAAGATTTGGCTTAATTGTCAAGTCCTTGGAGAGGTAGCTATATCATTTGTTGTCCAGTCTCTGCATAATGGGAAAATGCAGGGCTTGTCTCAAGTGCTGGCTAGAGTGGTCTATAAGGCTGGATCATCTTAGCTAGCCACCTCAAAATCGTCCTGAGCAGTTTGCAGTCCAAAGCCAATGTTTAGTTGGTGTTTTTCAGTTTAGTGGGCTCCAATATATAGCACAAGTTCTAATAGATTTTACTAATAAAACCCCAAAGTCACATATTGGGGAAAATACTGAGAGATCAGAGAGATGAGCAAAACCACAGACACCTTACCTACTCAACTTTCTGGCAGAAAAGAAACTGAGCTCCTGTCTCCTCCTGCCTTATTACTTCCTCTCTTTGCCCAGCCATTTCATTTCCTATCTGTCTGTACAGACCTATGTTTAGCTAGTGGCTAGCTCCTCCCTCTGATCTTCAGGCAAGCTTTATTTGTACAAACAAGATATCACCACAAGTTTCTTTTTTTTTTTTTTTTTTTTTCAGTTTTTTCAAATCATCTGATTTTCTTTTTTTTTCTTTTTTTTAAAGTTTATTTATTAAATATTTCTGTCTCTT